ATTAGAGCTTTAATTTGCAGGGTTATCAGGAGTCGAGAGAATCCCTGCTCCTAGTGATGGGACTGTCAACGAGTGCCTGGACTCGTCTGGCTTAGGAACCAAGATCACCACAGAGGGTCAATTCTAATCGTACATTGCCAGACAGGTCAACTGGAAGCCAATTTAGCATTAAAGAGACCCTGCTTACCTCCTCCCCCCGTTTCATCTCTTTCCGTCTCCTCTCTCCCCTCCCCAGGTAGATATTTTATAATCCAGAATATCAATCAATCTATGTCCATTGTGAAAGACTGCATTTCTGCCCTTGTGTTTGAGGAACGTGCAATGTGGAAATAAAAAACAACAGAACTCTTTTTTAACACGGGAGGTTGAGAGAAATAACCACAGTTCCCCAGAGAGTTAAGTGACAATAGTTTTAATTTTAATATAAAGTGGCAGAAATAGTCTTCCTTAGAAAAATGATACTTTTACTTATTTACATTTTTACATCTGATTTCCTGGCACAATTGACAACTTATTTACATTAAATGCTGTTGTGGAAATACTTTGAACATTCTAATTGTCCATTCCAATCTTAAATCTCTACATATCTAAACCAGAAACAGAAAAGGGGAAAATAAAGAAAACACTGATTACAGTTTTAAAGACAACCTTGGAAAATATTACAGTTAAGATTTCATAGAAAGATTCAAAACAAATATAAATACAGGCTTCTAGAGCGGATATGTTTGAAATCTATATTATCACAAAGGAATAATTAGTTTTTTTTCCTCATCTAATCCAAGGAATAGGTAGGAAACAATTACTTTAGTACCAATAATCAAAATAAGCATCATTGTGGATGTTGAGTCGGTCTGTTGCCATGCTTTCACTGTAGAATTGCACACAAATGTAAACTGGGCAGCTTAACACATACAATGTGGGTTGAGAACAACGTGCATGCAGAGAACAGTTCAGCCCTAATTTTGGTTGCTAGCATTGATTGTGATCCTGGCTTGCAAAGTCTACACATTTAAATTGACGTTCTCTCCCCGCCCAAAAATGTGTGCACTTTTATTAATGCGTTTGTGCAAATCCCTTTAATAACGCAATAACGTGTCTGTTACTAATCTTTTCCCTAGACTCTTGTTTTTTCCCTCCCTCCAATATTGAGTTATTCACTTCTGAAATGAACGCATGATCCCTTCGCTTTAACTGAACCATTTCTGTGGGCTGCTATGTGTGAGGACGGTTCAGGTACCTCACTCACATCATGGCTTGACCCTACTCATTGTCTTGCGTTCTCCCGATCCTCCCCCCCCCCCCGGGCCCGCCCCCCCCCCCATCTCCTCACCCATTCCAATCAAGCCAGTCTTATTTGCAAACCAGGAACTGTAATCACGCTAGCCAAAATATCTGTTGTTCATTTTAAAACATGCTGTGGCAATGAGGTTTCCACAATATCATGTCACTCCCTTTACCGCTTGTAGCGTTTATCCCAAATAAAAGGAAGCAAAGCTGATAAAATGGGAAACACAAGAAATCGCTTCACTAAATATACAACACGGGATTTTAAAGCGAGTTGCAGGTGGTGAAGGTTCAGGGTGGAGAATTAATGACCGTGGTTTGGGCTGAGGAATCACTAACTGCCTTGTTGCAGTTGAAATGTCCTGTGGCTGCTTACATTGCTTTAACTAGCGGTATTGCTTTCGTTTAACCTGTTATGCAAACAAATAGTTTATATTTTCACTAACTAGTCTTATTCATTACTATAGTACGGAAGCTTGCTATAATTTACAGCTGAAAGATGACGAGCGGTTTTAACTTGTATAAAAAGTGTTTAGACAATGATAAAATAATCTTCCTTTAGCAGCTCATTTACTCTCTCACTTAAATAATAATATTAATAGTAACCTAAGATCTAGCGCCTTTCACATCAGGAGGACATCTTAAAGTGCTTCACAGGATTTGCTGTAAAGTGTTGTAACTGTGTATTGTGTAGGCGAACATTTTGGCACAAGGGCTCAAATGATTTAACTAACCAAGTTAGTTTTAAGCACTGGAAGCACCTCACCTCCCTTTGTTATTCGATCATAAGAGAGTACAGTACCATTAAACTGCAGGCTATCTAAAAACTAGGGCTTGCAAAGGGCAAATGAATGGCTTTCACTAACTGTAGCTTGCTCACTGGCTGAGTGGAGGAATTGCTAAAGCTACTTCCTAATGGAATATGGGTTATAATTCATACCTGACCCAATGGAAGTGACCTATTGGTGTGGAAGACACGATTCAGTGTTCTTCTTTGCACTGCTAAACGCATTGTCACAAAGATCTAATGCTAATTTTCCTGTGCTAAGGGTCTGCTTGTATTATATTGGAGGATCCTCTGATGGGACGGGACAGGGGGTAGGTTTGATGCTATTTAACATATGCTGGTGTGCTTGTTTACTGAACGCACGGCAATTCCTGGCCACTGCATCCCATTTGAAACAGAGTGGAATCGATTATTAATAAATGTTCACCCACATTTAGTGACATTCACCTCCTCGTCAGGTCTAACACTTATTACTTAAGGGCTCGGTAAGTGCGTGGTGGGGTGGGGTGGGGGAACGGAGGGTTGCTTCTTTATCAGGAGCAAAGGCTGACACAGTCACAGTCAGGTTACAGCACTAGTCAGACAGGGGACAGCATGGGTCAGACAGGGCATCACTGGTCACCCTTGACATTGGCTCCAACCCCACATCATTCGCACCAGGCAATTTTCTAATCATTCAACCATGAACCTCTTGGAATCGGGATGAGGTTCTACTACGTGTCCACAGCCCTAGATATCTGGAGGTAAAGAGCAGTGACTCTGGGATTCCACCCTAGCCACCTAACCCCCGCGCCCCCTCCCATCTAAACCAAGTCATCACTGCTGGGAGCGGTGAGAGCACTGCAGCAATCTATGAGATTGGCTCATTGCCAACTCCATTTGCTGACTTGTGGGAAAGATGTTATGTTTGGTGCTGGGAACAGTCTCAACAGACCCAATGAATCCTAAGTCCATGGAAGCTCTAAGGATTCTACATTTGAGTTAACGATTTGAATCAATTTTACTAATGACACATTGTAACTGTTTTTAGCGCTTGTTATTAATAAACAATCAGGAATTCCTTCGTTTTAATATTTTTGGCACTAGTATTAATTTAATTTAACGCCGGCGTTAAATAAGGAGCGATGCAAAGTTTTGCCCCCAAAGGCCCCCACAGAGTTCGGGATGTTTGTCGGATGAAACAGTTAAGCTGGTGTTAAACCTGCACGGAAACGAACAGAAGCACACACAGCTGGCAGCGCCAACACACAATGGGCACCAGCAATTCACCCCCCCACACCCCCACCCCCGCCCCCGCCCGTTGGCGTGTCGGAGACTGAAGATGGAGATGGAAAGCGGTTCTGAAGTTGCGGCCCCAGCGTTCAAGATCATTCGTTCATTACACATGATATTATGAAAAAAGAAATGGCACATCAGAGAAAAACAGGTACTTGCGGTGTCTTAAATGGATATATTCAATGGGTGAATGGTCTAATGATGAACTAAGCACATCACTGGTACTTGAAATTGCAGTTCCAAGCCCTTTGAACATACAAATACCCACAACATCTTAGCATTTAAAAGTTGCGGCTCTTATCCAAAGCTTATCCATGTCTCAGTTATCAAGCAGCAAAATGCAGCACTGGTAGAAGTCTACAGTTAAATGAATTATACTCACGTATTTCTAGATCTAAGAATTATATTCTTTGTTTTTTTTCTAAATGGATTAGTGACATTCTAAAATGTTGCCAGATTACAGGCATATACTGTACTATATATCCCTGCTTCCATAGTCAAAATAATAAGTACAAGCCTAAATATATATAATACTAGAGGGAATATACTGCAAAGAGATAGACTTTTCACAAATTTATATGTGGAGGCTTATCAGGTTTGAGAAAGACTTAAAACAATTCAGTCAAAATGAATCTCCCAAGATAACAGCATGTATATTACATTTAGCGGCTAACGAGGCTCTTAAAAATCTATAATGTCCAGAACGGCAAAACTCCTGAACTTTTTCATGCCTCATGTTTAAATGAGAAAACTAATTTGAACGCCAGTGTCTCAACTGCACTGCTAACCCGCGATGGGGCACCAGTTGAACAGATATCTGTGGGGAGCACAGAGAGAGAGAGAGAGGAGAGTGTCACTCCAGAGTGAGAGACAGAGTGTGGTAATTGCTGGCAAAGAGCTTTTTTTTAAAATAACGTACCATGGTTTTGCTGAAGGTACGGTTAAAGTAATATATGGATCGTTTCAATGTCACAAAATAAATCGGGCTTGTGACTTCTCACTGCAATCTGTTCCACTGGTGTTCACACATTGGATTAATTCAAACAATTGAGAAGCAACATGGTTTGTTAAGTACTGTACAATACATGCATTCAGGACTTTGTATTTTTTTTCTTTAAAGTTAATGGCTTTAGTTGGGAACCCATTTGTTGTCAGTATTCATAAATTATGCTACCAGCTATTTTAGCTCAGGGTCTCACTCAAAACACACAGCCCAGTTCAGGCAACATCAGCAAAGACAAGAGTTAGAATACAGAGATAAGAGCATAGTTGCCAACTCCCTAAACTTACGCAGCAGTGTTGAGCACGTCATCTATTTGGTGCTGCCTTTACAATAACCGGGTTTGTCCTACAGATGGTTTCTCTGGGCTGTCTAGAGTGGTTTACTATAGATTAATGCACTGTTAAAGGTGCCATAAATCCCACTAGGCAGTCTTCAGTTTCAGCAAAGCTAACCAGTTGGTATGATCATCAACATGTATCTCTTTTCAGCTGCTCCTTTTCCATCAGATAGTAGGAAAGGCCAGTCATCCCTATCTAGCAGAAAATAGGAGAAAGAACACAATGTTAGCAACCACTATCTGTCAAAGCTGCTTCTTAATGTCTCCTAAATTCCCATTTCAGAACGTTGGCAACTATGTACGAAACTAGCTACATCAAACGAATGTCATTAACGTGGTATTTTTTTTAGAGATAGAAATTATGAGTCAAACATCTGATTCAATACTAGGCATTTTTTTGTACACACGTCTATTGCTGGAGTAATTCAAAACCCTGGGAGCAGAGTAAATACTATTCTTGCTTGATACATAAGGCATAATATGTTCTGTAATGTACACTTCATTAGGAACCCGTCCATCTCTGGAGCAGTACGATGCGGTGGACTTAACCGATGATCTAAAGTGATTATCATGCCGTGCCTTTGTTGCAGTTGATTGTTTATATATGTCAGTGGAGCTTCGGCCGTGCATCAAGTGCTGGTCCTCCCGGAACGAGTGCCAGAAGGGATTCTCGGAGACGTGGTCCGGATACAACGACTTGCTCCGCTTGCTCTCCTCCAGGTTGTGGTCAAACACAGAGACCTTGGCGCTATAGAGTTTGTCGGGCTTTATATTGAACACGTGTGCGTACGGGTTGTCGTCCTGAAACCTGTCCTTTTCCTTCAGGCTCACGCTTCGGGCCGGTCTTCCCAGATCGATCTCTTTGGGCTTCTCCAGGATATTGTCGTAGGAGTGCTGCCTGCTGATCCTCAGCCTGTTCACCTTCTGCATGTTGCAGGCTTCGCTCGCTGCCCAGTGATGGGCGAACGATTCCTCGGGCTGCATGGGGCTGACTGGCTCCTGCAGCATGTAATCTTCGCTGATGTCATACAAGTTCCCGGTATGGACACAAGCGTCGCACCTGTTGTAGGGAGACCTGACCGAATAGTGGGTGGTGTAATTGGGCAGCTTCGACAGGCAGCTTCTGCAGTGCGTGGACAGGTGCTTGTACCTCTCATTGAGTTCTACGGGGGAAATGTTTTTCTCTTTCAAGCTGTAGTGCTTGTTATAGAGACTGTATTTGTTCTCAGCATTGCTAAGGTTGTCCTCGTTATGCTGAGGAGTCCTGTTTAGGTGCAGAACTGTCTCCTGTTGCCTGTAATTCTCATTCTGGTCATGGTACCCAGGCGAGAAGTCCATGTCTTCGGGAATGATCACGCTCTCTCTGTAATGGTGCTGGTCACTGTGGTAGTTGGACTCTCGATCTGGATCAATGGTGTAGATCTTGTCCCGGTGAGCTTGCTGGCCCTCTTTGGCTTTGAGATAAGACAGCTCGATCTCGCTGCAGTCCCTTGGGTACTTGGCCATGGACAGCTTCTTTTTGAACGTCTCCTTGTGTTTGTGGTGCTTCTGGTTGTTGTCGGGGTCCTTGTAAGAGGTGGTGCGGCTGGAGCAATCGGACACATCGGAATGGACTACCTCTTCCGGGAGGTACCTCTGGTTTTTCACCCCTTGCTTGGGTTCCGGGGGAGCGCCCTCCATCACCGTACTCGGGTTCTGACGCAGAGTCTCCACGGACTTTTTCCACAGTTGCCTCGGCCTGGAGTTAGCCTTGGGATTGTCTGAGCTGACGGCGACCTCCACGCTGTTGGGATTGGCATCGTTCAGCGTCAGGGGATGCTGCGCTTGAAGCATGTAGTTGTTGCGGTTGTCTTTGTGCCGGTTAGCGCTAAACGTCAGCATCTCACTGGTGTTGTCAGCGAACACAGTCTCCTTGGGTTGGTAGGGCCTATTGTCCGAGTAAAAGAAATTCCCTTTGTGGTCAACCACATCCAGGAGTAAAGAGCCTCTTTGAATGAAATTGGAAGTTCTCTTGGGGGAGTCAGATCTTGAAGTATTTAGGTTTGAGATATTGGCCATGGTTTTGGAAGTATTAAAAAGCCTCAGAATATTGGTTTGAGGACTGCCTAAATCCAAGTTAGGGGATTTCTTCTTCTCCTCACTAGGCACTCCATGTATACAGCTCCATATCTCCTACAAAACAAAACAAAACAAAGCAGAGGAAGGAATTAGTGCCCATGTTTTGTAGATTAATATTGGGCTACAGCACAATACTGTTGTCTAATAGGAAAATGACAAGCACAAACAACCTGCTGCAAGCTGAGGAGGACTGTACAGCAGCTCAGAACAGAGGCCAGTATTGAAAGAGTAAAGATTTCAAAGGCTTCGGCGGACCTGGTGCGCTATTGTGAACAACAGACCAAGAGCTATCCTCTGCTTATGGGTATCCCAGCCTTAGAAACACCCTTCAAGGACAAAAAGCTTTGCATCATACTGTAGTTTGGAGATCCCTCACCTTTCTCACTGTGTTGCCACAGACCAGAACCAGACCAAAACCCGATAAAGCACTCTTAATCACCCCCAACTCCCCCAAGGTCTGAAACCCCATCAGTGAAACCACCGTGTTCAACTTAGAAAGGTGGAACAATTCTTTCATTTGGTCTTGGTTTTTCACAGTTCGTACAAAAAAACTGGCTCCAGAATTTAAGAATTTTCTGCAATTCTGCGTTAACTTAGATAATAATCAGTTCAGAATAATGATTATTAATTAATAATAATAATTTGGGCACTCAATCCACAACTGTTTGTGAGACACTGCTGTGCGCAATTGGCTGCCGTGTTTCGCCCACAATATAAACAGCCACTCGAATTTACAGTATATTCTGTACAGTAACATCTCAAAGATGTGTTAAGGCGCTATATCAAATTAAAGAATTATTATATATTCACTGGCAGATTTTTCCAGATGTGTAACCAGAATAGCTAGTGCAAAGTGACCAGAAGAGGTCAGGTCTTATTACAGGCTAGTGCAGCAATCGTCTGCAACTGGAATTAACATGTCACAATGAGAAACTTAACACTCATTGTATTCATAGGAAGGTGCCCCATCGGAGACATCACCTTGCCTCGATGATTTAAATACTGCAATGATTTCACACAGACATGCACAGAGGGAGATGAGATCAATTCAACTGAGTGATGATGGGTAGTGTCAATGGGTTGGGCAGTGTGCACGTCCGTGGGTTGGTTGGTGAAAATTGATCACTGAGGGTGGGTTGGTTAGCAAAGATGTATTTGTTTAAAGAGGATGGGCTGGTTGCGTTAATGGTTTGTTTAGTAGTAATTGGTTGATTGTTGAAGATGGTTCAGCTTTAAACACTCGTGAACCTCAGGAGTTTTTTTTTAGCAATAAACTTTTCAGAGTGAGAGGTCAGATCACCAGTTTTTGGATATTAAGCTCGATATGAAAGGCACATTTTTACATTTATCTTCCACTTGTTCTGAGCACTCAGCTTGACTGCTGTATTTTACAGTAGAACAAAGAGAGACCAGAAATAAATACATCAATAAATATCTCACAGCTAATAGCCAACATAAGCAGTGATCATAAATAGTCTCCATGTAAATCAGGGCATTTTCCTGCTAACTGCCATTTATAGAGATTGACTCAGTGCCACAATGTCAAAAAGAAACAATAGCAACAAATTGCATTTATATAGCCTCTTTCCCATCGGGAGGACAGTTTGCTGATCTCCTGTTATAAACTGTATTGTCTCCTCTGAGCTCCTGTTACACTATTGTCCTTTACAGATTGGTGGGGTGTGACTAGTGGAGTGCCACAAGGATCAGTCCTTGGGCCTCAGCTATTTACCATCTACATCAACGATCTAGATGAGGACATCGAAGTTAATATATCTAAATTCGCAGATGATACAAAACTAGGAGGAAATGTCAACACAGAGGACGACATTAAAAAAATGCAGCGAGACATAGATAGGTTAGGTGATTGGGCAGGTAGGTGGCCGATGACGTATAATGTAGGGAAGTGCAAAGTCATCCACCTCGGGAGCAAAAACAGTAGAGCGGGTTATTTTTTAGAAGGGGAGAGATTGGAATGTGTTAGTGTCCAAAGGGACTTGGGTGTCCTTGTACACCAATCACAGAAAGTTAGTCTGCAGGTGCAGCAGCAATTAGGAAGGCGAACGGTACGTTAGCATTCATTATGAAAGGATTAGAGTATAAGAGTAGGGAAGTCTTGCTGCAACTGTATAGGGCCCTGGTGAGACCACACCTGGAATACTGTGTCCAGTTTTGGTCTCCTCATTTAAGGAAGGATGTACTTGCCTTGGAGGGGGTGCAGCGTAGATTTACTAGGTTAGTACAGGGGGTGAAGGGGTTGAGTTACGAGGAGAGGCTGATCAATTTGGGCTTATATTCTCTAGAATATAGAAGAATTAGAGGGGATTTTATAGAAAACTATAAGATCATCAAAGGGCATGAGAGAGTAGATAGTGGATAGTGGGAGATTGTTTCCCCAGTTGGAGAAACTAAAACCAGGGGTCACAACCCTAAAATCAGAGGCAGCCCTTTCACACTGAGTTGAGGAAGGACTTCTTCACTCAAAGGGTGGTGACTGTATGGAACTCACTACCCCAAAGGGCTGTTGATGCTCAGTCCTTGAACATATTCAAGACTGAGATAGATAGATATCTTATTGCAAAAGGGATTAAGGGATATGGGGATAAGGCAGAGTTAGGTTATTAGCTGGAGTTAGATTAGAAGATCAGCCATGATTGAATGGCGGGGCAGGCTCGAAGCGCCGAATGGCCTACTCCTGCTCCTACATGGTATGTTATGTTATTGTAACATCAGCTATGCTGGTATAAATTGCTGGTGTGGCATTGAGCACTGAAACATTCTCCCTCTGGTGTTTTAATCCTGGGCTATGTTGTGCTGTAGGCTGACTCAACCCCATGTTACACTGTTAAACATGCAGTCTAACTACAGCAGTTAATGGGGCACTGTTCTGTTTAGGTCACCTTTTTAGTTGCCTTAATAGACAGCAGCTACAACAACACGACATGTTCATGCAAATTCCACAGCAGGAAAAACAATTGTGATCTAATCAGTAAGAGCTTTCTCAGGTGTGAGTTCACTGGTTGGGTTACCCACTAAACACAAACATGTAGCACCAAATATCTCTAAATAACAGGTGTACGGCAGCTTGGTTTAACATGGTATCTGAAGGGCAACACCTCCAACAACATATCGTCCCAAACACATTGGTGCTGTTAAGTTACAACAGCAACAACAACTTGCATTTATATAGCACCCTTCATGAGGAGCAGCGTCTCGGAACGCTTGTTACTGGAACGATAGGAAAATATAGGGAATGTCAATGGGATGGAACCTCAAATGAACTGATCGCATCTCGTCTTTCTCGTAGATTAACGTCTCAAAGTGCTTTGAAGAGACAGAGAGAAAACCAGACCTAGGTGGGAAATGGGAGGAAACAACCAAAGGCATGGACGAAGAGGTAGGTTTTCAGAAAGGTTTACAAACGAGCGAAGGAGGGAGTGAGGCCGAGGGAACTCCACAGAGAGCAGGAAGGTGGTGTTCAGTTCTGGGCCCCACATTTTAGGAAGGACGTCAAGGCTTTGGAGAGGGTGCAAACGAGATGGTATCAGGAATGGGGGACTTCAGTTATGAGGAGAGGCTGGAGAAGCTGGGATTATTCTCCTTGGAGCAGAGATGGTTAAGAGAAGATTTAATAGAAATTTTCAAAATTATGAGGGGGTAAATAGGGTGAAAAAGGAGAAACTATTTCCACTAGCGGGTGGGTCGGTAACCCGTGGGCACCGATTTAAAATAGCTGTTAAAAGAAACAGAGGGAAGGGGAGGAGAAATGTTTTCACACAGCGAGTTGTTGGGATCTGGAATGCATTGCCTGAAAGGATGGTGTAAGCCAATTCGATAACAACTTTTAAGAGAGATAATTATTTTGGGAGGACAAGTTTGCAGGGCTATGGGGAGAGCGCGGGGGAGTGGGATTGATTTGGAAGCTCTTTTCAAAGAGCCGGCACAGACACAATGGGCCGAATGGCCTCCTTCTGTGCTGTATAATTCTGTGATTCTATGATCAGAGCTCGTTTGCCAATGGTGGGGCCGGGGGTATTGGGTGAGGTGTGGAGGGGACGGGGTGGGGGAATGACGACAGAAAGTAGGTCCAAGTTATTGGGGGGGTGGGGGAGGTAGTGGGGTCGGAGGAGTGGAATCCGGTGATCTGTAACACATCATTTCATTGCAATATGTGTAACTCAGGTCACTGAGCATCTCGGACTATCTTGAATAGCAGGGAGGCTGGCTAGCTCTTGTTTTCAGTGATCTCTAAAAAAAATCCCTGGCTCTGAGAGAATTCAAGACAGATTCTGTGGATACTTTGATAATGGACAAGCTCACTCTTTGCAATAATTTACCACCTACTCCAGCATGTTTAATGGACACTGGCACAAGTAATTAGTGGATTAAATATAAGTGGAAATGAGAAGATCAATGGAAGCTGCAATCCTGATACTTCCTCTCACTTTCTAGTCCATCTGCTGTAATCTAGATAATTGCCTATCTTTTGTCTCGTATCTCTTTTGATGGCACTGTCAGCAAGTTATATCTCATCTTGTCCTGTGACTCCATTCCCCTCACCAATTCTCTGACCTTCAGGCTTTAACCATATGTACCAATAACCAATGAAAATCATTTTGTTTTGGTCAGCTGGGTGTCTGATACACGCAGAAACCCATCTCCGTGCCTTAACAGTGTGTCCAAACCAGACAGAGTTCTACATATGTATATTTTGCCCATAAAACAGTCACTCCACTTTACAGTATATCCTGCAAAGTGCTTTGAGATGTCTGAACGACGTGATAAGGCGCTGTATCAAATGTAAGGATTATTATACATATGCCACCTACCCACTGAAATGTCTCCATGTCTGGGATGTATTGCGCACGGTCACCCTGGAGTGACGCACCCTGCTTACCTAATTCCAGAGAATATTAGGTGCAGGTTGGCAAGACACAAGGCTTGGGGAGCCCAGCATGGGCATTGGGGTAACTGCTGGCATCTGAGCAGATAAAACCACATAGCTTGCCCATTGAGAAAACTGTCTGGCAAGCTTTCCCGCTGCTTGTCCAGCTAGGACCATCCTAGCCGTTAGGACTTTGGCTTGCAGGGTTAACAGGAGCTGAGTACTCAGCTGAATCCCTGAGACACGAGAGATAGATGGACGTAAATTGAGCCACAACCGTCCATGCCTCTTAAGCTTTGAGTTAACACTGATCTTCAAGAGTTGTTAATAGTCTCTTAAGCATGCCTTGAGATGCTACAGTCATCAGGAGATGTTGTTTGTTAAATAAACCTTCGGAGGGCCAAAAATAACACCTTTGAATATTGAACACCTCAAGAGGTCAAAACCTTTCAAGCCCAGTTCCCCAATGCAACTTCTACCTAGTTCCTCTTAAATGATTTGGAATGTATTAAAATTTAATTGAGCCTGTGAAAATGATGGTGCTCTCAAAAAGCAGCTAAATATAGTGCGGATATTTTAAATGTTCTCATTTTCCAACCACATTGTGTTGCCGGGATTCATTCGCTGTTAATTAAGTAAATGAGAAATGAAATGATCAGTCATATTTACTCTCCAGTTTAAGGCTGTAAGTTTGCCCTATATGCAGCAGTTGTTTCCTCACACAGCTTGGAAAGTGCCAGGCAGGACCATCTCTCAAACCTTCCAGCTAAAAGGTTATAGAGGAAACATGCACAAAGGGACTGACTCTATTTAACACAGCATATAATACTGTGTGTCTCACGCAAACACACACTACACCCAAGTTACACACACAGCACACACTGTGACACACAGACTATACGGCACTCACTGTGTGACATGCACTCTACCCTACATAATCTGTGCGAGTCTCTGTCCAACTCCCCATATAATCTGTATGAGTCTAATGCTGTTTTGGTCTCCTCTCCAGTCCTATCTACAAACAAAGCACGCAGGGAACCTATAAAACTCATGGTGGAGTGCTTTCCAGACAGTTAGCCTTTACTCCATTAAAATATATCATCTCTGTGCTTTTTACAGCCCATCCATCTCTGAGCTGTCGCTGGCTGCGGCCCCAGCACATCAGGCGGCTGCCAGCGAACCACGGAAGTGCTTCAATGATCTCAGCCTCTGGCAAGAAAGCACTCGCTTAGGCTTGGCCGGGAGCGATCACAGCAGGGACGCTGATACAGGGAAAAAAACACTTAAACTGAAGGGTCCAGTGACCATGCTACAGTCAATAATATAACAATTATCCTTGCATCTGGTATAGCGCCTTATCATGTCGGAACGATGTCTCAGAGCTCTTCAGAGCAAAACTGAAGTGACTGTATATTTGTAGGCAAACGCAGCAGCCCAAGTGACTGCAGCAATGTCCCACAAGCAGCCATGAAACGACCAATTTGTATTGTGGAATTGTTGGTCAGGACACCGGGAGAAACTCCCTTCTCCTTTCGAACAGGGCCTTGGGACCTATTAACAACAACAAGATTACATTTGTAGAGCGCCTTTCACGTCGGGAGGAAGTAACATTCATCTGAACAGGCAGACCTTGGTTTAAACGTTTCATCTGATGGATGAATTCTGAGCCTAACCCAACAACGGTGATAGGGGGATAGGAATACATGAACAGGAAGAGGCTTTTTAGATGATTGAGCCTCTTCCACCATTTATTACATATTAGCAGGTCTTTTCGCCCCACAGATTTTTTATGGGTCAGATGGGAGCAGGCAGAGCAGGGGACGTGCATAGTGGAGAGGCGTCCCTGCTGTGATCGCTCCCAGCCAAGCCTAAGCGAGTGCTTTCTTGCCAGAGGCTGAGATCATTGAAGCACTTCTGTCGTTCGCTGGCAGACGCCTGATGTGCTGGGGCCGCAGCCAGCGGGGACTTGGAACAGGTAACGCTGGGCTTCTCTTCTCTGATACAAAACTCCGACAGTTATTGCACAGAGGCCCAACAAACGTAACAGCACCGAAACAGGCCAATTGGCCCAACCCATCGGTGCGATCTTTACACTCCACACAGACCTCCACCTCTCTCCTGTCCCCCCTCAATTCCCCTCTCCCTCAGGCCTGCGTTAAATTTCCTCTTGATACTTTCTGCTTCCACCAGTTTCTGTCGGTGAGTTCCACACTCTCACCACCCTCTGCTTGAGGATGTTTCCCCTTAAACTCACTTGTTCTGGCACAGAGTTTACGTGACAATTGATTATCTCCATTGTGATATCTGCAGGTCAACAATAACAACATCTTGCATTTATATTGCGCCCCTCGTGCTGGGTAGCGTCTCAAAGTGTTTTGAGACACTACCCAGCATGAGGGGCGCTATGTAACACTGCGTGGTTTACACTCGCAAAAAACCGCACCGTGCTGATGTCAACTAAGAGACCATTAAAGTACGTTTTTACTTTGATGGGGTTACAGGTACGTTCCGAAGTGAGTTCATTCGGTCCACACTCTCAGCGCGAGTTAAAATAAAAATCCTCATTGAGCAGAAAACAATTAAAATGCCTTTTCGAGCAGGGGAGCGAGACGCGGAGAGACTCGGGAGAGCTTTCGTTACTCACTCTGCTTATTGAGAAGAGAATTCCTGGTTTCCCGGTGCAGTTGCCCACAAAGCAGTGCCTGAGATTCCAGTAAAACCAGTGCTCCCACACAAAGGTGATCAGACTCAGGGCCATGGCTGCAGCCAGCATGTAAAACACTCCAGCCATGTTATCCACGTCCAGTTGGCTGCTCATCACTTCGTTCTTCTCATTGTGGCAGATGCCAGTCAGCCAGAGGGCCTCCAGCTCCTCCATCTCGCCTGCACAACAAGAGAACCACACCATTGTTTCCATTTAGTACTCACTCAGCACAGCAGTGGAACCACATCAGGTTCCCGCACACACCCCACTTTACAACACAATACACGTTTACATTTATACAGTGCCCATCACTTCCCAAGGACATCCCAAGGCGCTGAATCTTTTTTTCGGTCAGCAGGCGTATCTGACACATGCGGAAACCCATCACCGTGCTTAAGAGTACCCAAACCAAGCCAAGAATTCCATGCATCCCACCTACATGTGGAAATTCCAGAGACAAATTGTTGGAATGGAATGCGCACTCTCTCCCTGGAGGGACGCTTCTTGCTTACCTAATTCCAGAAAGTATTAGGCGCAGGATGGCAAGAGCCAAGACTGGGGGACCACAGAGTGTTTGATAGGTATTGCTGGAGTCTAACCAGCTAAAAAGATGTAACTTGCCAGAAACGTCCCAGTTTGGTTTGGCACTCAAGGTGGGTGGGAGGGGAGGTGGGGAGAGTAAAGATAACCGAAAGCGCGGTCAAAGAGGTAGGCCTCGAGACAGACTTTGAACAAGGAGGGATTCCGGATGGAGTTTTTAGAGAATGGTGGTAACAAGGCTGATGAAAGTCCACCTGCCGATGGTAGGACAGATAGGACGGGGAACATAGCCAGGTGCTCGCTGAGTTTTCACTCCACTTTGGCTGTACTGCAGCTCTCAGTGTAAAAGGTTTGGTATGAGATGAGGTGATGACGATTCTTGCGCTAAGCTCTACATTGTATTGGAGTCTGATTAACACATATGGTGCCTTAGGCTCTCTATTCCCTAACGACAGCACAGATCCTTCCCTTTCTAGGCCATGTGTTCGATACAACAGCGATACAAACATCTCAAAGTGCTTCACAGGGAATCAATGTCAAGTGAAATGAACGTGTATTTTTAGGCAAACACAGCAGTCAATTTGCACACAGCAATGTCCCACAAACTGCCATGAAGTGAACGAATGATCTTATCTGGAGGATTGTCGGCTGGGGAGAAACTCCCTTCTCTTTTTCGGTAGTGCTTTAACATCCACCTGAACTGGCAGACAGGGCCTTGGTTTAACATTTCATTTGAAGGACGGCACCTCCAACAATGCAATGCTGCCCCCAGCACTGCACTGGAGCATCAGCCTAGACTGTGAGTTCCAAGCCCCGATTTAGTTGCATATCAATCTTTGTTGTGACACCTTTATATTAAAACACAGAAGCTTCAGGTCGTAGGAAATGATTCATTGTGATTTTTGTTAAAGCAATTTCAAGCTCATCAATGTCGTCCTTCAAAAACATCACTAATCAAATGGAAACATAAAGTGTATGAGGAGGAGTGGACCTGCAGAGAAGCAGCTATTTTGGGTAAAGGACAGAGAGTTCAACTAATGTACACTGAGCTATGCTGAGAAGCTGTGAATACACTGTGGGTATATTCCATTACAGGATCTAAAGGCTTGATGTGATTGAGGTGTGTAAAATAATAAGATATTGACAGGTTAGATAGTGGACGACTCTTCCCACCGGTAGAGGAATCAGTACAAGGGGTAGAGCCTTAAACTCAGAGCCAGGGCAGTTAGAGCTGAGGTCAGGCAGCGTTTCCTCACACAGGGGGCTGTGAAGATGTGGAACGATCGGCCCCAGAAAGCTGTAGAGGTGGGATCAATAGTGATGTTTAATAGACAGTCAGAGACATGGGTAGTAGAGGGATTAAGGGGTGTGAGGGAAGGGCGAGTCATTGGGATTAAAAGAATTATAGAGATCTAATAAACTAGTGGAACAGGGTGAATGGCCTCCTCCTGTTTTGCCATCTTATCTGTATAAATATCCGAAAGATATTTAAGCTCCTCTCATAGAACATGATGTAAAGAAATGGTTTTAGGTAAATTATCCGGTCTTAAAACTGATAAATCTCCTGGACCTGATGGCCTACATCCTAGGGTTTTAAAAGAGGTAGCTACTGAGATAGTGGATGGCTTGTCTTTGATCTTCCAAAATTCTCTGGATTCTGGAACGGTTCCCACTGATTGGAAGATCGCAAACGTAACACCACTATTTAAGAAGGGTGGGAGAGAAAAGATGGGGAATTATAGACCAGTTAGTCTGACATCAGTGATAGGGAAAATTCTTGAGTCCTTAATCAAAGATGTCGTTATGGGATTCCTGGAAGACCGTAACAAGATTAGGCGGAGTCAACATGGCTTTACAAAAGGGAAGTCATGCTCAACTAATCTTTTAGAGTTTTTTGAAGATGTATCTGCAGGTTAGAGAGGGGGGAACCAGTAGATGTAGTATATTTAGATTTTAAAAAGGCATTTGACAAAGTGCCACACAAAAGGCTATTGCACAAGGTTAAGGCCCATGGGATTAATGGGAACATATTAGCATGGATTGAAGAAAACGGGTAGAAACCAGAGAGTAGGGATAAACGGGTCATTCTCGAATTGGCAGGATGTGACTAGTGGAGCGCCACAAGGATCAGTGCTGGGCCTCAGCTATTTACAATTTACATCAATGATCTGGACGAGGACGTTGAATGTAACGTATCTAAATCCGCGGATGACACTAAACTAAGTGGGAGAGTAAGCTCTGAGGATGATGCAAAAAGATTGCAACGGGATATAGATAGGATAGGGGAATGGGCGAGTAGGTGGCAGATGGAATTTAATGTGGGGAAGTGTGAAGTTATTCACCTAGGTAGCAAAAATAGAAAACAGATTATTTTCTAGAGGGGGAGAGATTAGATAGTGTTAGTGTTCAGAGGGATTTGGGTGTCCTTGTATACCAGTCTCAAAAAGTTAGTTTGCAGGTGCAGCAGCAACTAAGAAGGCGAACGGTATGTTAGAGTTTATTGCAAAAGGTTTAGAGTACAAGAGTAGGGAAGTCTTGCTGCAACTGTATAGGGCCTTGGTGAGACCACACCTAGAGTATTTTGTGCAGTTTTGGTCTCCTTATTTAAAAAAGGACATACTTGCCCTAGAGGGGGTGCAGTGTAGATTCACTCGGTTAGTTCCTGGGATGAGGGGACTGACCTATGAGGAAAGGCTGAATAAACTAGGGCTGTATTCTCTAGAGTACAGAAGAATTAGAGGAGATCTTATTGAAACATATCTCCTTAAAGCGCTGATAAAGTAGACACTGAGGGTCTGTTTCCCCGGTAGGAGAATCTATAACCAGGGCTCAGTCTTAAAATTAAGGGTCAGCCTTTTAGAACAGTGTTGAGGAAACATTTCTTCACTCAGAGGGTAGTGAATTTATGGAATTCACTACCCCAGAAGACTGTAGATGCTCAGTCCTTGAACATCTTCAAGGCTGAGATTGATAGATTTTTTAAAAAATAGAGGGATTGGGGTATATGGGGATAGAGCAGGTAATTAGAGTTAGGTCTGAAGATCAGCCATGATCTTATCGGATGGCGGGGCAGGGCTCGAGGGGCCGAACGGCCTACTCCTGCTCCTAATTCTTATGTTCTTATGATTGGAATGCTGGCAGTGATAAGGTATTAGCTACACAGCTCGCCTACAGGGGGAGTGGGGAGTGAGAGAGGGGGAGCGTGGGTGGAAGAGCAGGGAAGGATGGGGTTGGGGAGTGAGGGAGGGAGAGAGTGGGAACAGGGGTGGGGGAGTGGGGAACTTATAATAATAATAATAATCTTTGCATTTAATATAGCACCTTATCACATCTTTGAGACGTCTCAAAACGCTTCACAAAATATACTGTAAAGTGAATTGACCGTATAACTTGTAGGTCAAACGGGGCAGCCAATTCCGCACAGCAATTGCACAATTGCTGGCAGTGATGAGGTTTAGCTACACAGCTACCCTACCAGGGGGAGTGGGGAGTGAGGGAGTGGGGGAGGGAGAGCAAGGGGGAGGGGGGAGTGGGGAGCAATTATGCACTGTATGTGACCTCTAAAGTACAAAAATCCAACTTTCAGGAACAAGCTATGGCAAATTCAATTAAAATTCTATTGAAATGCTCAGACAAAAGGCTAATTTCATTGATGTCAGTTTGCGGTGAGGGAAAAATCAATTGCTAAGAATAGCAGCTTGCTTCAAAACCAGGGATAAATAAATGAACAGGGAAAAGAAAGCTTGAGTGCAGAAAGTGCTCTTAAGCAAAGCTTGAGAGAGCCTGGAGGAGAGTTCTTTATACAGGTCACTGTATAAAGTGTATTGTATGCCCTAGCACACTCCTTATTTCAATAGAGTGAAGCATCTCTGTATATTTCAGATAGCATAAGAGACATCATATCACACGAGCACAATAGTTATTTAAGGAACCTAGAGTAATTCAATATTATCTAAGTGAATAAATAATAGGTGTCAGCCTGGCTCAGCCTGTCGAACTCTCGCCTCTGGGTCAGAAGGTTGTGAGTCCAAGGCTTCAACCTACCACTCCAATGCAATGCTGAGGTGTGTGGCATTGTCAGAGACGCTGTCCTTTGAATGAGACGTTAATCCGAGGTCCTGTTCAGGTGGATGTTAAAAATCCCATGGCACTAATGCAAAAAAGCAGGGAGTTTCCCTCTCCCGGAGTTCTGGCCTACAATCTCCCAATAAAATTCATCATTAACTCCATGGCTGTTTGTGGGACCCTGCTGTGCATAACTTCACTGCTGCATTTCGCCCACAAAATACACAGTCACTACTCTTGACAGTAGCCCCCTTTTGAAGTGCTTTCTTGAAGTGCTATTCAGAAATGGCTTGACAAAATACCTGGTGAACAAAATGTCAACCTCCTGCAAAAAGTAGCCATTTTAGGAAGCTTAAATATATTAAGAAAAGTAACATCCAATTATATGTCTAGTGGCAGTGTTACTGGTCTGGCTGAGCATCACTGAAAATCACTTAGAAACTACCTTGACAGAGGGATTTAAACCGTAATAACAAAATAGCAACAACAACACTCAGCAGTGAACCCCCTCCAACCCCTCGCAACACCTGTTGTGAGACGGTGAATAGCGGGCGGGCAGGAAACTCCTAGACAGTGAGTGAGTAATACGAAGCAGCCCATACCGTCGCCAACAAACTGCAGCAGAGCCAGGTCAATCTGCCGCTTCCATGGCGACCCTTTCTGCAAGGCTATCCCGTAACCTGTGGTGGAGAAGACATATCCGCTCCCGATAGTCACCAGTTTGCAGCCCTCGTCTCTGCCCGCCATGTAGTTCAGCACAGCCGCGTCGTATATGAAAGCGTCCAACTTTCTGCAATAAGAGAAAGAAAATCCCTGAAGCAGCCGGGCCAGCAAAGGCATTACGCTCAGACGTCCCATTGTAGCTACAACAACAACAACAAGAACAACAACAACAACAACAAGATTCCATTTATAGAGCGCCTTTCACGTCAGGAGGACGTCCCAAGGCGCTGCACAGTTGGGTCATGACCCGAGCAGGGGGGAAATGGTCAGGGTGAGGGGAGGGAAGGGAGGGAGAGAGGAGGGGGAAATGGTCAGGGTGAGGGGAGGGAAGGGAGGGAGCGAGGAGGAGGAAGAGAGTCGAGAGGGGAGCTGAAGGCACGGTCAAAGAGAAAGGTTTTGAGACCGGCCTTGAAGGAGGAAAGGGAGGAAGCAAGGCGAAGGCACTGGGGGATGGAGTTCCAGAGCCTCGGGGCTGAGAGGCTGAAGGCCCGACCACCGATAGTAGGGCGTTTGGCGGGGACGTGGAGCAGACCGGAGCCAGAGGAACGGAGGGTACGGGCAGGTAGGTAGGGGGATAGTAGGTTGGAGAGGTAGGAGGGAGCAAGGCCGTGAATGGCCTTGTAGGTGAGGATGAGGATCTTGAAATCAATCCTCTGGGGGATGGGGAGCCAGTGGAGGCGAGCGAGGGTGGGAGTGATGTGGTCCCGAAGCCTGGTGCGGGACAGTACACGAGCTGCAGAGTTCTGAATGACCTGCAGCTTGTGGAGGGAGGTGGCGGGAAGGCCGGCGAGGAGAGAGTTCCCATAGTCCAGCCTTGAGGTGACAAAGGCGTGAACCAGGGTTTCAGCAGCGTGAGGGGTGAGGTAGTGCCGTAATCTGGCGATATTCCGGAGGTGATGGAAGGCGGTGCCAGTTGTGGTGCGGATGTGAGGGAGAAAGGACAGCTCAGGGTCGAACAAAACGCCGAGGTTCCTGACTGGCTTTGAGAGGTGGAGAGTGCAGCCTTGGATGCTGATGGTGTCAGCGCCTGAGGTGCGGAGGCGCTGACGTGAGCCAATCAGGAGGGCCTCGGTTTTTTGCACGTTGAGCTGAAGAAAGTTGTCTCTCGTCCAGGACTCGATGTCGGACAGGCAGGCTGTCAGGACATCGGTGGTCGTGGAGTTGAGAGTAGAGGAGGAAAGGTAGAGTTGGGTGTCATCCGCATACATGTGGAAGTTAACCCCATGTTTGCGGATGATGTCACCAAGGGGGAGCATATAGAGGGTGAAGAGGAGGGGACCGAGGACAGAGCCCTGAGGGACACCACATGAGACAGTACGGGGGGTGGAGGAGAAGCCATTCGTTGAGACGAAGTGAAGACGGTGAGAAAGGTACGACCTAAACCATTCAAGGACAGTGCCTTGAAAGTTGAGGTGGGAGGACAAGCGGTGGAGTAGGATAGTGTGGTCGACCGTATCGAATGCTGCCGATAGGTCGAGGAGGACGAGGAGACAGAGGGAGCCCTGGTCACAGATGGTCAGGATGTCATTGGTGACCTTGACCAGGGCAGTTTCTGTGCTATGAGCAGCACGGAAACCTGACTGAAGGGGTTCAAAAAGAGAATGGGTGGAGAGGAAAGAGCGCAGTTGGGAGGCGACAACTCTTTCCAAGACCTTGGAGAGAAAGGGGAGGTTGGAGATGGGCCGGTAGCTTGATAGCTGCGACGCATCAAGGGAGGGTTTTTTCAGGGTGGGCGTGATGATGGCAGTTTTTAATGGAATGGGGACAGAGCCAGAGGAGAGGGACAGGTTTATGATGTCAGTGATGTGTGGGACAAGAAAATGGAGCTGGGAGATAAGGAGTGGAGTGGGGATGGGGTCAAGGGAGCAGGTGGTTGGTTTTAGGGATAGGATGAGTTCAGTGACAGAGGGTGGGGAAACGGGTACGAAGGTGTGTAGGGGAGGATGGGTAGGAGTCGGAGTGTGGGAGGGAAGGGGTGGGTGGTGGGTGGAAGTTGGAGGGGAAGTGACCGCGGAGCGGATTCCCTTGATCTTGGATTCAAGGAAATCCAGCATCTCCTCGCAGTGAAGGTTGGAGGAGATGACCTGCGCGGGGTGGCGGGGGGACGGAGGAGTCGGGATGTGGTGGAAAACAGTAGCCTGGGGTTGTTCTTCGCCTCCAGGATTATCCTGGAGTAGAAGGACGACTTGGCCGAGGCTAGAGTGGAGCGGTAAATTTTGAGGAGGTCCAGCCAGATTTGTCGGTGGACCGTTAAGCCGGATTTGACAAAGGTGCGCTCAGCAGCCCGCACCTGGCATTTCAGTGAGCGGAGGTGGGTGGTGTACCAGGGGGAGGAGCGGGAGTAGGAGACAGTGCGGGAAGTGATGGGGGCAAGAGTATCGAGTGTGGAGGAGAGGATATTGTGGAGGAGGGAGAGAGGAGAAGAGGGGTCGGTGAGGGTTGAAGGCCAGAGGGAGAGGAGTTCAGAGGACTCCAAGGCATCGGTTAGGGATTGTGGGGGTAACTTCTTCCAAGGGCGGTAGAAGATGGTGGTGGGTCTGGTGGAGGTGGGGAGGGGGGTGGAGGTGGTGAAGGAGATGAAGTAGTGGTCGGAGATGGCCTTGTCGGTAATAGTGACATCCGAGACACTGAGGCCCCGGGTGATCACCAAATCGAGTGGGTGGCCGTGACTGTGAGTGGGGGAGTTTATGTGTAGGGAAAGGTTGAGTGAGGAGAGCAGGGAAGAGAAGTCTGTGGAGATGGAGCAGGAGGGGGTGAAGTGTAGGTTAAAGTCGCCCAGGATGATGAGGCGATCGGAGCAGAGGCAAAGAGATGTGAGGAGTGTTGAAATGTCAGAGATGAAGGTGGGAGAGGTTTTAGGGGGCCGGTAGAGGAGGAGGATTTTAAGGGAGAGGAATGAGGGGTGGGAGAGGGTGAGGTGCTCGAAGGAGGGGAAAGAGCCAGTGGAGTAGGGGGATAGGGCAAGTGGTGTCCTTGAGATAAGGGCAACACCACCGCCACGGCGGTTGGGGCGGGGGATGTGGTGGGAGGTGTAGCCGGGTGGCGTGGCCTCCGTGAGGGGGAAGGTGTCGCCTGGGGTGAGCCACGTTTCTGTCAAGGCCATGATATCAACGTTCTCATCAAGGATGAGATCGTTGATGACCAGGGCCTTGTTGCAGAGGGAGCGGACATTTTGCAGTCCGATGTGGAGGGAGCGGTTGACAGAAGGGTGTGTGGGAGGGGAGGGGGGTCCAGGTTGTGAGGCAGGGGTGGGGGAGATGGGGATGAGGGAGGAGAGGTTGACTCCCCGGGTCTGTGTCCGGGGTGGCTGGCGAGAGTGGTGGGGAATGGGGCAGTCGGTGTGGCTGCTGCTGGACAGCCAACGCCGAGTGCCGCGGTGAGCCCGGCGGAGGATTCCCAGACTGGAACAGAGGGAGGTTGTGGGAGGGTCAAGTGGGGATAGAAGACGAGAGGGACGGAGAGAGAGGAGGAGAGAGCGGGAGAGATGCAGAGGGGGAGGGTTTGGGGGGAGAGAGGAGGGGGGAGGGAGGGAGGGGGTGAGGGGGCTCGGGTCAAAGCGGCAGCCATAGTGCGCACGCGGGGACCGGGAGCGAGCGGTCAGGTGGATGGCATTATCCCGCAGATTGGGGCATCGAACCCAACAGGACCATAGTGGGCTCTGATGTGAGCCCTGGGGGGGTGGGGGGGGGGCGCAGAGGGTTTTTTTTTTTTTTTTTTTTTTTTTTTTTGTGCGCGCGCACTCACCTGAAAACTAATCTATGACGTCGCAGTTCCCCCGCTCCGCCCCCACACCTCCCTCCACTGCCTAGCTGCACTCGCTCCGGCGTCGAGTTTAAGTACCTGGGTCAGTTGGCCCAGGCTCCTCCCCGCGCTGTCCTGCCGCCGCTCCCCGACTGGAGGGGAGGGCCCAAAAGCCCCCGACTGTCCAGCGCCCTGGGACGTTTTTCTATCCTGAAGGGCGCTATACAAGTGTAATTTGTTGTTGTTGTATAAAGCTCTGCACTGCTCTGGGTTTCCCCCACTTCTTAAGAAGAAACGAGCTTGAAGATTGAAGACACCTCCACAATTGTCTGCCAATTTTAAGACTGAGCAGCCTCGCAGGCTGTGACCAGGTGGAATGTCAGACCTCAGTTACCCTGATTCGCAACCTGCCAATGAAGCAAGTGGGTGAATCTTGCGCAATGGTTTAAACACACGCGAAAAAAAAATGTTTAAACTGTCACGCATCTTAAAGAAAAAACTGGGAAAAGATTTTTCAATTGGATGATAAGTCATTGTTCTTAAATAGGAATATCAGCAGGATATTAGGGTGTCAGTCTGGCTCAGTCGATCGTCTCTGGGTCAGAGTGAAGGTTTCAAATCCCACATCAGGGTTTTGAGCTCACAGTCTCGGCTGACCTCCAGAGCAGTGTTGGGGGAGCTCTGTATTATGGGCGATGCCATCCTTCGGGTGAGACGTTAAACCCAAAGTACCGTCTGCACTTGTTCAGATGGACATTAAAGATCCTGTGTCTCCATTCAAATAGGTTAGGGAGTTCCTCTAGTGTCCAGGCCGACAATCCCTCAGATGAAATAGGTCATTCACTTCCTGAATGTTTGTGGGATATCGCTCTGTGCAAATTAACTGCTCCATTCACTAACAAAATACCCAGTCACTACACTTTACAGTAAATTCTGTAAAGCACATTGAGCTGTCCTCCTGACATGAAAGGTGCTGTATCAAATGCAGGCATGATGATCATTACATCCATTGTGTTATTCAGTGTCTGTGGAACAGGCTAAATGGGCTGAATGGCCTCCTCCTGTCATCTGCTGCGTGCGATATGCACTGGTGGAAATCTCCCAGTGTAAAATGGAATGTCTACACTATAATGATGTTAAATCACTGATCCACAGCACACTAAATTGGATCAGCCCAAAGAGAGATTGAGAAGGGGACCTTATGGAGGTGTATAAAGTTTTAAGTGGGATTGAAAAAGTAAACCCAGATCAACACTTTCAGAAGCACCGAGACACAGGTTTAGAGTTGTGATGGTCATTTCAGGGTAATTAATGACTGGAACAGGGTTGCCAGGTTGGGACCAGGACACTGGGACTCGATTAAAAAGTAGCTTGATGTTGTGGTGGGGGAACGGTAGGGCGAATTTTCTAGAGGGATGACATCAGATGGGCCTTCTTCATCCAGACCAATTTAGTGATCTCCTGTGAACTGATGAGAAGACAGCACAGCCACACCGGACGTCATTTTAATGATATTAATATTTAAAGAGAATCGGAGGCTTGAGAACCTAATATAGTGAGCGGGGTTGATAGAGAACGGTTACTCAAGCTTGCAGGTGCTGCGATTGCCCAGGCCTGTTATCAACTTGATTAATTTTCCCTTTAAAACGAGACGGAAGATTGGGAGAGTGCAATAATTAGGAGCTCGCACTCTTCTCAATAATTAACTCATTTAGGTTTTTGTCTTCCAGAATAATTTTAAAAAATCATAAAATATTCAATACTTTTCGAACAGAGATAACAATCTTACTAATGTGAAAGAACTATTCATTCACATCATTCCACTGTAACTGGTGTCAGCCTGGCTCAGTCAGTAGCTGTAGAATCGGATACTCCAGTGCAGTGCTGGGGATTGGGGGGAGAGCTCCATAATCGGAGGTGGCGTTCTCTGTCCAAAGTTAAACCAAAGTCCCGTCTGTCTTTTCAGGTGGACGTTAAATATCCTATGGACTATTCGAAAAGAGAAGGGAGTTTCTCTCTCCTAGTGTCCTGGCCAACAATCCCCAAAATAAAATTGGTCACTCACTCCAAATACAGTGCTACAGTATCTTTAAACATCTCACTCCCAATATAAAATACCATTCGCCAATGTACAACTCCATCAATATACTGTGGTCTAATGGCACTTTATATTGAGGGGAAAAGAGATATGTTTGGTAAAACTGTATTATTGCACTGTGGACTGTGAGGAAATGGTCTACAATACAGGTTGGCTGATTGGTGAAGACAGACCTTCAGCACAGCTCGGGAATCATCAGGGAAGAGATGTGCAATGGATAATTTAAGAACTAGGGGATACAGATTCCAAATGAAGGCTTCACTGAGGACTGTTCACCAATTGTGCCTCATCTCAAATTCTAAGGTGGTCTGATAGACCGAGTCTACAACAGCAACAATTTACATTTACACAAACACCTTTCACTTTGGGAAGATGTCTCAAAGTGCTTCACACCGATGACTGGGAGTGTGAGTTGGTGGGGGGCAGGGATTGGGGGGAAGCCAGCAAAGTTGAACGATTTCAGAAATAAAACGCACCAAATAGCGACATGAGACTTTCAATGTTTAACTCAAAATTCAAGAATATTTCACTTGGTTATAATCAGGGAACAAGCAAGAACTGCCTGAATCAGATGGTAGATGAACAACAACAACACAACTACATTTGTAAAGCGCCTTTCACATGGGGAGGACGTCCCAAGGCGCTGGACAATCAGTGTTTCGGACCTGAGCTGGGGGTCAGGATCAGGAAGGGTGGAGGGCAGGAGGGGAAGGAGAGTGATCGAAGGCACGGTTGAAGAATAAGGTTTTGAGACGAATCTTGAAGGAGGCAAGGGAGGGAGTGAGGTGGAGGGACTGCAGGATGGAGTTCCACAGGGTGGGGGCAGATTGGCAGAATGGTGGGACAGGTGAGGCGGGGACGTAAAGCAGGTCGGAGCCCACTAAGCTGAGGGAGCGGGAAGGTTGGCAGAGGTAGGGGGGAGCAAGGCCATGAAGTTCTTGGAAGGTGAGGACTAGGATCTTGAAATGTATCCTCTGTGTGATGAAGGTAAATTATTCCCGTCAAAAGCTTACCCAGCCTTCAAGTTCATGAGGGCATCCTGCACTCCTTTCAGGTTATACTTGGACAAATAAGCGTGCATGTCGGGGTAGTTATTCCTGATGTTTCTCTCCGTGCTGCCGTTCGGCACTGTGCCAAACCGAAACGGAGGGGAATAATCATAGGGTCTCTGGAACTGGAAGAAAAAATTGGACGTTAGGAATTTTGAAACAATCAATTGACGCTCAAATGTTCACTCAGAAATGTGCCTTTCCATTCCACTAAATCGCTTCCGTCCTTAAAGAACCCAAATGTCACTGAGGAGCATCACTCCTGAGCCTCCACCAACATTTTACAGAGCAGAAGGAGGCCATTCGACCTATTGTTAGCCTCCAAATACACAGTCACTACCACTTCACAGTAAAAACTATGTGGAGATGCACCCTGGTTAACTACTCTTAGAGAGCATTAGGTTCAAGTTGGTGAAAGCCAAGACTCGGGGACCCCAGAATGTGCATTGGGGTCACTGCTGGAGTCTGGGGTAACCAGCTAAAAACAAATAGCTTGCCATTGAGAGCATTGTCTGGCAAGCTTTCCCTCTGATTGTCCAGCTAGGACCACCCTATCTGTTAAGGCTTTGGCTTGCAGGGTTAACAGGATCTGAGTGTGAAGAGTGCCTGTCTGTGCTGGCTGTGCTGTCATCAGCAGTGCCCTGGAATACTGTGGACCCACCTGGCTCAGAAACCGGACTACCGAGTCCGCCACAGAGGGCTGGCTCAATTCCGATATTCCGTCAGCTTGGAGCTAGTTCAACACAAAGGAGACCCCACTTACCTCCCTCCCCAAGGAGAATAGTTATCAGAGCCCCATTCAATATGTAACACGCAGGGTTTTATCTCTCAAACGTGCTAACTATCCACATAGTGGAAAAAAAATCGATTCAGTGGGGTATCTTTCAGTGATGAGATATTTTTTAATAAAAAGAGTGCTGCTATTAAATTGCACTGCCTGACCGTAGCGATTAATCACTACCACTGCAGGAAATTGGAGGCGAGTGCACAGCACAATAGGCAAAGCTATATCTGCCCAGTGCCCCGCGCTTAAACTGGAATGTCAGAAATGTCAGAATCGTGCCACAGGATGATTAAATACTGCGGAGAAGGCACACAGCAAGCGGCAGATTCCGCACACCAATAAAGGACTGAAGACTGAGCTTCAAGTGATGGGAGTTAGCAAAAGCTCTCAATTCCACAAAACACAATACAATATAATACAGTATACAATACAATACAAATTTCAGGTTGGGAGGACGTCACAAGGCACTTAACATCCTGGGTGGGTACCTGAACGGGATGTGGGAACTGAGGGGGTTGGAGAGGTGAAAGATGACCAAAGGCGTGGGCAAAGAAGCAGGTCTTGAGACAAACATTGAACAAGGTGAGGGAGGGGGTGAGTCAAAAGGACTCCGGGATGTAAACTAAATTAAATGTAACGTAAAATTACAAGTAGAACAATCCACCTTGGGATAGTTGTGACATCAGCCGAGTCAGGAATAACTACTGTTAAGTATTTTATTAGCAGTCAAATATCAAATCCACCAGTGGACCTGTTCTGTAATATCCCCTCCAGTAGTTACTTCTAGTCCTTTCTATCAGGACACTTCCTATTAGTCCCCTTTGCTGTCTGTTCCACACTGAACCTGAGTTGTTTTAATAGTAATAATCCTTGTATTTGATATTGTGCCTTTCTCATCGAGAGGACATCCCAAAGTGCTTCACAGGAGTTTGTCCTATGAAATGTAGTGACTGTATTTGTAGACAAACATGTCAGCCAAGTTGCACATAGCAATGCCCCATAAACAGCCATGAAATGAGTGATCAATTTTGTTTTGGTGGGGGGTTGTTGGCCAGGACACCAGGAAAGAGAAACTTCCTTCTCTTTCGAATAGCGTCGCGGAATCTTTAATATCCACCAGACAGGGAACTCGGTTTAACGTCTCATCCCAAGGAAGGCAGCACCTTGGGACGTCCTCCTAACTTGAAAGGCGCTATAATCTTGTTGTTGTTTTGCACTCAGTTATCGCTTCCTCAAACGTGTCCCTTGTGCTGCCTGAATCTCTATTTCTTTAGGGAGTTTGTTGTCTCCAGTTGGTTCCTGTCAGACGCCATTCTGATGAGTATGGGCGGTATCTCGCTGATTAACCTACTTGTACCTCAGTCTCAGGTTATGTTTTCCAGGCAGGTCCTCATTCTCCGTCGCCACGGAGATGTGTCAGCCATGTTCTTTCTGATATAAGCTGTAAGGGCTTGTCCTCATTCTCAGTGTCTCTGGTCTCTCCACGCGCTCCTTCCCATTGTGTGTATCGTTGGTCTTAGTGGCCACAGGAGATCCATTTTGTACAAGTGCAGCTCCTTTTCCCTGTGTACTCCCTGCTACAGACAGTGTCAATCGTTCTGTCGTATTCTCAAACCTTAATACAGGTGATTCTGTCACTTTATCTTCTCAAAGGTCTTCTCGTAGTCTCTGGTCCATTCAAATGTGTGCTGGGTCTGTCTGTGCAACCTTCTCAACAGTTCTACCGTTTCTGCTGTGTTCCGAATGAAACGTATCCATATGTAACGTCCATACCAGATTAGCATAAGAGTCCTTCAGACAACATCTAAAGCTGAGGTACTGCCTGTTCAGGTGAACATTAAAGATCCCACGGCACTATTTGAAAAGAGAAGGGAGTTTCTCTCTCCTGGTGTCCTGACCAACAATCTCCCAAATAAAATTGGTCACTCACTCCATGGCTGTTTGTGGGTCAATTCTGTGCGTAAATTGGCTGCTGCGTTCGCGATCGCCAACAAACTATGCACAGTCACTACACTTTAACAGTATATCCTAAATAATCCTTCTGTGTTTCGCCCACAAAATACACAGTCAATCCACTTTACGATATAATAATAATCCTTGCATTTGATATCGCGCTTTTCACGTCGGGAGGACGTCCCAAAGCGCTTCACAGAACACACTGTAAAGTGAATTGACTGTATATTTGTGGGCGAACGCGGCAGCCAATTGCGCACAGCAATGTCCCACATACAGTCGTAGATTGAAAATGACCAATTTGTTATTGTTTTTGGTTTTGGAGGGATTATTATTAGGCTCTGTGTGGAGTAAGGAAACTTGCCCAAGGTTTGGCCCTCTGCCTGGGATTGAACTCAGGTCTCTCACTTGCAAAGCGAGTGCTCTATCCACTGAGCTACAGGACTCCACATATCCTGTGAAGCACTTTTGAGACGTCTCAACTGGTGATAAGGCGCCATTTCAAATGTAGTGATTATTATCATCATCAATATGATAAGGTGTTGTATGAAACTCAAGGATCGTTAACACTAATATTATTATAATAATTTACTAAATGGTGAAGGGAGGCAGAGCCTTACCTTGTTGTCACTGAGTCCAGTCACTTGGTCCACAAACTCTTCCTGGATCATGAAGGCTGCCAGATTGGCCGTGTAGCTGGCCAGAAAGATGACAGCAAAGAAGGCCCAGACTGAGACTATGATTTTACTGGTGGTTCCTTTGGGATTTTGCACGGGCACAGAGTTGTTGAAGACAAGACCCCACAGCAGCCATATTGCTTTGCCAATAGTGAAGGATGGACCGTGAGGATCTGTGAGCAAAGAACATCCAAAGTGAGTAAATATTCTTCCCACTTTAACATTTTCCAAGGTGTGTTTTTTTATCCCCCCCACCACCGGGAGCAAAATATTTCCCAAGGAGTGTTTTTTTTAAATAAAATGAAAGTTAGTTCCAACTTTCTAGATCAGGGTTGTTAGACGTCTGCTATGATCAGACTCCTTTATTTGGAGGATTCTATAACCAGGAGCCATCACATGGGGTCCTTGCATGTGTTTTTTTCTGTGAAACTCTGTGTTCCCAATCCTAGGTGCCATGATCCACTGACAAGCCAGTCAATGAATGAGGTTGTCCTTTTGTTAGTCTTGTGAGGTTTCTTGGTTTTTGTTAAGTTAACATGCAGAGGTTATCGAGATACCTGTGAAGAGAGCACTAGTGGCTTGGCAGTCTACCTGCGATGGTACTCAATTGGAGAGTTCATTTCTCCCTGGTTGATGGTTCCAAACCAGTTGAATCTGAGAACATGGTGGATTGTGCATTAACACGACATGGGTTTGTGCCCATCACACCCAGTGGATGAATCTGTGGCTACGGCCAGTAACTGTGCCAGGGGAAAAGGGGGAGAATTCCTCTGTTTTGAAGAATAGGAATCCCATAGTGTAGCACGCTTGCCTTGCAAGCGAGAGGATCCGGGTTTAATTCCCGGGCAGGGCGAAACCTTAGGCAAGTTTTCTTGCTCCACACGCCTGTGTTTACCTGGCAGTATGTAGATTGTTAGGTGGATCACTTTCCGGGGGTATAATCCCTCAACATCCCCCCAAAAAATTGGTCATTCACTTCATGGCTGTTTGTGGGACATTGCTGTGTGGACAGTCACTACACTTTACAGTAAATCCTGTGAAGTGCTTTGAGAAGTCCTCCTGATGTGAAATGAGCTACTGTATATCCAATGCAAGGATTATAAGTGTTTATTATCATTTGGACGGGTCTTTTTTTTGAAGAACGGCAGAAAACAGATTGCCAAATTAAGAATTCCTCTTAAAATGTGTGATTGTTCAGAATTGTGGCAAAGTGGTCTCATGCTGGGATTCAGCTGAACTATATAAAAATAATAATCTTTTCTCTTAGTGACTTTGGGAATAAAGTTCCTCACAGCAATCAGGAAAAAGATTAAATCCAAAGACAACATCACTAGCAAATTAGAAGTTTTCTCAGGTTTGTAGGAGATGTTTAGCAGGACCTCTGGGTCTAATTTACAACGCTTGGTCACTCTCACACCACATTACTGTAATCACTGTGTTTGACCACCAGAGATGTTGATATCTAGTTAATGACCTGAAGAGAGTGCAGTTCTCAAAGACAATGTGTGCCATGAGACATGCACTTAAAAAGATTTAATATTGTCACAGTGTCTGTGTCAGAATAAAGCTCTTATTAAGTCATAAACTGCACAGATGGCAACAGGTTATTGTTTTGTACTAAGTATTTCATTTGCAATATTTATCACCTGAGCTTAATGTAGGAACACAGGGATAGGGACAGGGAGGCCATTCAGCCCATCGGCCTGCTCCACTATTTTCTTAAATCGTGGCTTATCTGTAACCCAGTCCCATTCGCCTGCCTTTACTCCATACTCACTGACACCCACATCAATCAATAAGAAGAACAACAACAAATTACATTTGTATAGCGCCTTTCACGTCAGGACGACGTCCCAACGCGCTGGGCAATCAGGGATTTGGACACGAGCTGGGGGTTGGGATAATGAGGGTTGGAGGACGAGGAGGGTAGCAGTAGGAGGGTGGGCAAAGGCGTGGTCGAAGAGGAAGGTCTTGAGACAGGTCTTGAAGGAGGCAAGGGAGGGGGCGAGGCAAAGGGCCTGTGGGATGGAGTTCCAAAGGTTGAGGCAGAAAAGCTGAATGGTGGGGCAGGCAGGGCGGGGGAAGTGCCTTATCACATCGTTGAGACGTCTCAAAATGCTTCACAGCATATACCGTAAAGTAGATTAAGTGTGTATTTTGTGGGAGAAACACGGCAGCCAATCGTGCACAGCAGTGTCCCATAAACCCATGGATTGAGTTACCAATTTTTTTTATATGGGATTATTACCCCCGGAAAGCGATCCATTAATCAACAACCGGGTTCCAACTCACTGCTAGGTAAACAGAGGAGTGTGTAGTAAGGAAACTTACCTAAGGTTTCACTCTGCCCGGGAAACAAACCCGGGTTCTCTCGCTTGCGAGGCGAGCGCGCTAACCACTACGGTACAGGACTAGTGTCATAAACAGCTCAATCACATCACCCTCCAATCCCCTCTATTTCAAGCTCCAGTTTGCCTATTCTCTCCTTGGAATACGGTTCCAATAGAATTAAAGAAAATCAGCATCTTCTGTCAGAGTCATTAGAAGCCTAGGCACAGAGCTTTGGTGAGGTGTAAGTATCTCTTTAAGATGCTTGTCATTTAGTGAAAAGCACTTGTGCTTCATTACTGAGACAGACAGCAACTCGTGCATAATCGGCAATTGATGGGAGCAAGGGGCTAATTTGACTCTTGAATATCATAATAAACTCCTCAGAAAATGCCTGCACAAGAGGATACAACAATCATTCGGAAATATCTTGTGCAGCAATTAAGATACCAGCCATTATCTTCCTCCCATTGGGTCAGCGAATAGAGCTTTAATCCCTGGCAGACTTACCACCTGACTAAAAGTGCTTCGTATCTGCAGGTGTTCGGTACAAAATATAGTCACTTCAATTTACGAGACACTACCTAGGGCGCTATTGAAATCATAATAATAACCCTTGTATTTGATATAGCACCTTATCACATCGTTGAGACGTCTCAAAGCGTTTCACAGGACAGTAAAGTGAAACAACTGTATGTTTTCTGGGCAAAACATGGCAGCGTTTTACAATCCTGTGAATCAGTAAAATCCTGTGAGGCGTTTTGAAACGTCTCAACGACGTGATAAGGCACTGTATCAAATGCAAGAATTATTATGATGTTGCAATATGTAATGCGCTGATATGTAATTGCAATATGTAATTGGACACAGTAACTGTTGGCGGTGTGTTTGGAATACGTGCCAATGCAGATCAGTAACGAGAGAAGTAATGCGTGGTTTAAGAATGAGATGACTTACTTTTCCCTTGCGCTAAATTTCTGTTGTATCCAAGAGGGCTAAAGTACTCAAACAAAAAGACAGCCACGGCGGACACCATGAGAAGAGTGACAAACATCATCACCCAGACTGCAGCACTGAAAGGCTCTGCAAAAGAACACAAGGCAGGAGGTCAATGGATCATGCGTTGAAGGAACCCAACAAAAGGCTTTGAGAAAGGCCATCTCATGGTAGCACTGATTTCAAAGAGCAATCTTATTGTACAGGGTTTGTAAATGTCAGCGGGTTTCAAACCATATCCTGCACACAGTAGCTCCTGACAGTTTTGAAATATTCAGAGATTATCATCTCTCAACTCTGCCAAGTAAGGACCTGTCCAGAACTGCCACTGTCTTCACACGAGTACATACACAGCCCTCCAAGGCGAACATCACATCATTGAGGAATGGTACAGCATAGAAATGGGTCATTTGGCCTAGCAAGTCTGTCCGAGTGCGTTTTGCCTACAGCTCAGCACGTAATCATTCAGCCCATGTGCTTTAAAAGAACAATCCATTCAGTCCCATTGACCTGCCTCTCCTCCCCTCCACACCCTAACAGATGACTCCTCTTTAGATAAATCTATCTGCTTCCTTCTGAAAAGCTAATGTGGATCCTGCCTCAACCACGGGACCAAGGAAGACATTCCACATCCCAACAACTTCCTGTGTAAAAACAAATCCTTCTATTCTTCCCCTTTGCTCCTTAACTTATATCGATTGAATGGACATGAGCCACCATGTCTTATTCACCTTCCTGTCACTCCCCATGCCCTTTAATTACTTTTTCTCAAATATCTTAAAACGGAAATATTTGTAGGGCTATGGGGTCTAGAGCGGGAGAGTGGGACTAGTTGGTAGCTCTTTCAAAGAGTCGTCACAGGAACGATGGACTGAATGGCCTCCTTCTATGCTGTAAGATTTTATGATTCTACAATCTCTCTAACCTCTCTAACACCCAACAAACAAATTTATAGACACTTCCTCCACTACGGTTTGAGGTAGAGAATCCAAATTCAGGCCACCCTGTATGTTACAAACCCCCCTCTCTGTACAGAACCCTCTCTGGTTAAAAGAGCAGTTTCACCAATTCAATGGATTACACCCAAGAGGATGCTGAGAAAGACTGCGACATTCTGTAGGCATGTGGAGGGGAGGGGAGGAGAGATGGGTCAACGGGATTGAATGGATTACCTGAACCACGGCACTTGCTCCCACTGGCCGGGTGTTGGTCTGTGCCCTGGGCTGTTTTGGCAGCAGTGTTAATGTGGGATTTCAGGCGCTGGAATCCAATCCGCATTACCCGACTGTGCAGTGAAACCAGGTTTCACCCCTCAGCCCCTGAGGGTCTACACCAGCCGTGACTGGGCCATGGATGAGAAGCAAACGACAAACTGGGCGACCCAGACAGAGCGAGAATCTCCCCCCACCACGGCCAGGCCAGGCCAGGCCAGGCTGGGGTACCCCAAACCTTTACCTAAAAATGCAGAGGGTGAAACAGTGCCATTGCTCCGAGACACCATGACACTGATTCCAGTTTCCACAAATGGAACGGAGAAGTCAATAACTTCAGAGCGTTCTTCATTGATGGTCAATGAGCCAACAGCCATGTGTGCCCTCTCGTAAACCACCTGCAACGGGAAAAGCCACAATTAACCCAGGATCACCACTGTGTTTTGCCCACAAAATATACAGTCAATTCACTTTGCAGTATATTCCGTGAAGCGATTTGAGACGTCTCAAAGACGTGATAAGGCGCTATATCAAATGCAAGGATTATTATTATTTTGTGTGGGCGTCGCTGTGCGCAAACTGACTGCCAAGTTCACCCACAAAATACACAGTCACTGCACTTTACAGTAAAACTCTGTGAAGTGAAGTGCTTTGAGCCATTTTAAAGAGATGATAAGGTGCTATACCAAATGCAAGGGTTATTATTATTATTATGTTATTACAGTTTAAATCACTCTGCAGAGGTAAATGGTTTGCAGTGAAGGTCGACACTGCCATGTTACACATGTTACTTTTCTTAGTATATTTGAGCTTCCTAAAATAGCTGTTTTTTGCAAGAAATTTATATTTTGTTCGCCAGGTATTTTGTCAAGCCATTTCTGAAGAGTCCTATTATGATGATGAATAATCCACAGCATGTAAATTTCTCTCTTTCTCTCACTTTCTCTCTCTCTCTCTCTCTTTCTCTTAAGCTCTCTTGAAATTCTGTTTCATTCACAAACAGCCACTCAGCAGTTTACAGCACACCGAGGATATAAAAACACACCTCCTAATGGTGTGGTGATGTGTTCATTAACACATTTGTTAATTAACACATCTGCGTTTTTTTTTAAATGTCTCCACGGAGTATATCTTGAAGTCCCTTTTTTCCAATCATCTTTTTCCCACAAAATTCCCTCCTCGCCCCAAAACCAGCCGTGATGGCCTGAGAGGTGTTGGGTTAGCTCAGACGGTGTAACACAATGCAGGAGGGTTCTTACGTTATTCCCGGGAGAACGCAATTTACAAACATGGTTCATTCTGTCACTGCAACTATTCCTCAGAATAGTTTTTAAATTGCTCACCACTAACATCACCTGAGTTCAGTTCCAGGCAGAGGGCGAAACCTTGGGCAAATTTCCTTACTCCACACGCCTAATGATAATCCCTCCAAAAAAACAAAACAATAATAAATTGGTCATTTTCAATCCACGACTGTTTGTGGGACACTGATGTGCGCAATTGGCTGCCGCGTTCGCCCACAAATATACAGTCAATTCACTTCACAGTATATTCTGTGAAGCGCTTTGGGATGTCTAGAAGACTTTAAAAGCGCTATATCAAATGCAAGGATTATTATTATTATTATCAGGCTATATTACAAGATCACAAGATCGATTTGGATGAAGAAGGTCCTTCGGACCATCTGATCTGATCTCATCATCCAGAACACCCACCGTACCGTCCCCCCACTCACAGCACCAAGCTGCTTTATAAATGTGTCCCACTGTCCTGGTCCCAACCTGGCAACCTGTTCTAGCCGTCAATTACCCTCTGGGTGAAGAAAATCTTCCTGGTATCTCCCCCAAATTTCCCTTTGCAGCTCTAACCCAGTGGCCTCTTGTTCTACTGTATTGTTGCATCCTAAAGTATTAATCAGGGTTTCCATTTTCAATCCTATTTAACATTTCATACACAAGTAGACTTTAAAGATCCCATTGCACTATTCAAAAAGAGAAAGGAGTTTTTCTCTCCCTGAGTCTTGGCCAAAAATCTTCCAAATAAAATTGGTCACTCACTCAATGGCTGTTTGTGGAACATCGCTGTGTGCAAATTGGCTGCCATATTCACCTACAAAATACAGCTACTATACTTTACAGTAAATCCTGTGCATCACTTAGAGATACCCTCTCAACGTGAACGGCACCAGATTAAACTATAAGCATTATTATGTTAACAAGTGGCTGTGTTTAAATCCTGCTCAGAAATATCACTTCGTAACCAAAGCTGAACAGCTTTCTGACAGCTCTAATCTAACCCGGTTTTGAAGAGAACACAGAATTTGGTCTAATACCAAATATTTTCAAGGACTTTTTTTTTAAAAAAATCCGATGCTTTGAAGTTAACAAGAACAACCTGTATTTCTACAGCATCTTTCACACAGAATAATGTCTTGGAGCACTTTACAATGGCGGGGAGGGGGCAGGAAGAAGGTGATCACAGGCACAGTCAAAGAGGTACATTTTGAAGCAGGATTTGAAGACACATAGAGGAGGAGTGGGGGAAGGAAGGGGTCGAGAGAGGAAGTTCCAGAGATTAGGGGCATAGCGAGTTATCCAATTGTAAGGGCAGGAGTGGGGAGGGGGTGGGGGAGAGGGAGACAAGCAGTGGAGTAGTAGAGAAGGAGTTCGGAGAGCTAGGGAGGTGCCAGTGTGTGAGGATAACTAAACTGTATATAACCCAAGTCAACTTACATCCCCGACCATCCCATTCCAAACGCCATGGATCTTCTTGCCATGTTTTCCGTTTGTCACCAGGTACAGATCATACGTGAACTTCACGGTCCTGGACAGTTTCTTCAGAATGTCAATGCAGAAACCTTTGCAGCACTTTTTAACGTACGTACCCTTGTGGTTGGTGGCATTGCTGGTGAGAGATGGCAAAAAGACACTTGTAAAGAGAGAGCAACTGTTACACATGCAAGCAACTAGTCACAAGATCACAGGAGTCAGCTTGGCCCAGTGTGCAGCGCTCTCGCCTCTGAGGCAGAAGGTTGTTGGTTCAAGCCACATGTCAAGACTTGGAATCACATAGTCTAAATTCCCAATCCAATGCAGTGCTGGGGCATCCTGCATTGTCGGAGGTGCCGGCCTTCAAATGAGACATTAAACCAGTCGCGTCTGCCTGTTCAGGTGGATGTTAAAGATCCCATGGCGCTATTCTAAAAGACAAGGGAGTTTCTCTCTCTGTCCTGGCCAACAATCCCCCAAATAAGATTGGTTACTAGCTCCATGGTTGTTTGTAAATAATAATAATCCTTGCATTCGATATAGCGCCTTATCGGGTCCTCGAGGCGTCTCAACACTGATATAGTGTAAAGTGGAGTGACTGTAATTTTGTCAGCAAAACACGGCAGCAAGTTCGCACTAAGCGATATCCCACAAACAGCAATGGAGCGGTTGACCACATTTATTTGGGGGAATTGTTGGTCAGGACACTGGGAGAGAGAAACTCACTTCTCTTTTCGAACAGCATCACGGGATCTTTAACATCCACCTGAATAGGCCGACGGGATGTCGGTTTAACATAGCATCCGACAATGCACAGCCCCCAGCACTTCACTGGAGCGTCAGCCTAGACCATGGGATCGCAAGTGCAGTGTACATAGACCAGCAAGCCGCAACACTGATTGCTTTTGTTGTTATCTTGTAAGTGTCCTGTGTAATTTCTTGCACAGTTTTAAATAGATTTGAGGACATCACAGCCCATGCTCCCAGCTCCCACCGCCCCCAGCATGAAGGATCCCTGTAATTTGCAGCTCCGAAAACAAACAGCAACACAAGCAAAGCGTGTCCTCGTATCCCTGTAATTTTGTGGTTCCCACTGTGAGCAGTAATTGTTATTTTAATGTGGATTACAGTGGTCTGGTTTTAACACATATTCGTGCTGTCACAGCACTGTTTTTCCCATATTATTATCGCCGGGAATTAGCTGCAATGTATTATTACTGCAAATTTCGTCGACTGCTATGGTGTCAGCCCAGCTGAGTCTGTAATGCTCTCGCCTCTGGGTCAGGCAGATGTGGGTTCAAGCCCCACGGGGAAGCTCAGAGTCCCAGCTGATGCTCCAGTGCAGTGCCAGGGGAGCATTCCTTTGACTAAGTACTGTCGTTTGGGTTTTAGAAAGAAATGACAAAGAACGTACAGCATGGGAACAGGCCACTTGGCACACAACCAGTCCATGCCGGTGTTAATACTCTACACAAATCTCCCCCCGCTCCTCCCTCCCTCCCTCCCTTCCATATCCACTTTACAGTATATTCTGTGAAGAGCTCTGAGAAGGCTTAACGACATGATAAGGCGCTATATAAAATGCATGGATTATTATTATTACTATTATTATGCCCTTCTATTCCCCTCTCCCTCATGTGAAGGTCTAATTTCCTCTTGAATGCATCTACACTATCTGATTAAACCACCGCTTCAGGCAGCGAGTTCCACATTTTCACTACCCTCTGTGTGAAGTAGTTCCCTCTAAATTCTCTTTTAGATCCCCTTGTCGCTATCTCATACTTGTATCCCCCCGGTTAAATTCTCCAACCAATGGAAACAACCTATTTATGATAACCTTATTGAACCCTTTTATCATTTTAAACAACTCTATTAGATCCCCTCTTGAACATTACTGCATACAAATCTGCTACCCTTCGCTGACAAAAAAAAGTCACTATGCTTGAGAGCAACAGCCTGGGAAGCATTTTGATTTGAGGTTAGACGCAGTATCAAATGCTTGGATTATTACGTTGCTGTTATTATAATTTGTGATAAATTTATAATGTAGATGCATTTCAAAAGCTGCTCCAATGTTAGCTGGACTGAGCCTTATACAGAGGCTCTGCAGAGGGCAAACCTATTAATATAGTAGTTTTATTGAAACAATCAGGTCGTGCTATTTGACACTGGATCAGCTCTGATCGATCAATGCTTTTAAGTTGCTAGTTACTGAATTCCCTCTGGGGATTATTGAACTGTACAAAATGATTTCAATATCCTAAATGGATTCGTTTTCACAACTGGGAGTAGTGTGCCTGATCTTTGACAGTCAGGGGCTCGAGACAAATGTTTAAGGGTCACTTGTTTTACTCTTTATGCCATAAACTCACAGCTCAAGCTCATTCTTATTTTACATACACAATTTTCAATGAGAGCAAGAATAGGAAAGTGTCCCTCTTCACCTCCCCTCTCTCATCCCTCTCTCTCCCTCGTAATCCTGCTCTTTCTCCCTTCTACTCCCTCACCCTACACCTCCTTCACGCCCTCCTTCACCCCCTTTCTCAAACCTCCTCCCCCCAACTCCCTCACTATAGGTTTCTTCGCCCATTTTAAACCCCTCTCGCCCACCCGTCTCACTCTCTCACTCTCCACCCCTTCACTGTCTCTCCCCTTCTCCTCTCTGCCTTGGGTTCCTCAAGCCTTGGCTCTTCAACCTGCACCTAACACTCCTCAGGAGGACAATGAAGGGTTTGCACCCGAGGCGTGGGTTGGGATCAGGGAGCGGTGGAGGGCAGGGAGGGTGGGGATGCGGGGGGAAAGCTGAAAGATGACCGAAGGCATGGTCGAAGAGGAAGGTCTTGAGACGGGCCTTGAAGGTTGCAAGGAATGCAGCGAGGGAGGGGGCGAGGCCGATGGAGTTCCAGAGGATGGGGGCACAAAGGCTGAAGGTCTGACTTCCGATGGTTGAGCCAACAGGGCGGGGGTTGTGGAGCTGGCCAGTGCCCGCCAAGTGGAGGGAACGAACAGGTTGGTAAAGGATTAGTAAGTCGCAGAACTAGTGAGGAACAAAACCGCAAAGGGCTTTAAAGGCAAGGACAAGAATTTTGAACTCTATCCTCCGGGGAATGGGGAGCCAGTGAAGCCGGGTGAGGATGGGGTTGAAGGGTTCATGACGCTTAGTGCAGGAGAGTAAGATTACAGTAAGGAATAGCACTTACAGACCTTTTTTTGTGCCTTAATTTCAAGATGTTCTGTTGAAGGTCAAGCATTAGGAGACAGTGTGAGTTGAGTTGCTGTCACTGAACACAGCAATGACATGAGATGGACCCTCAGCACAGCTCAGGCTGGGGTGTGTAATTAACCTGGATTCCTCTGGCAAGACTCATCCAACGCTAAATGGTCATCTCTCACTGTCTCTCAGTGTCTCTTACAGTGTGCTCAGATAACTGGGTCAGTGTCATTTTCACCCACTCCATCACCGCCTCCCCTCACCCACTCCCTCAGTTTACAGCCGAGCTCTTTACTGGGCTGTCAGCTGATGATAGCACAGCCCAGCCTGGCTCATTGGCAGGACTTGATAGGGCAGACCAGTCACTGAGGGCAGGGACTCTTCCCACGCAGCTCCTGTTAACCCCGCAAACCAAAGCCCTTACGTGGTCCTAGCTGAACAAGCAGCGGGAAAGTTTGCCAGGCAGTCCTATCAATGGCAAGCTGTGTGGTTTTAGCTGGTTAGACTCCAGCAGTTACCCCAACGCACACTCTGGGGTCCCCAAGCCTGTATTCTTGCCAACCTGCGCCTATTAATGTCCGGAATTAGGTAAGCAGGATACGTCCCTCCAGGGAGAGAGTGCGGATTCCATTCCAACAATCTATCTCTGGGATTTCCATGTAGAGGTGGGATGCATGGAATTCTCAGCTTGGTTTGAATACTCTTAAGCATGTGATGGATTTCCGCACACATCAGACACCCAACTGAACTCCCCCACACCCCCTCCCTCAAAGCAAAGGGCAATTATTGGGAGTCCACTCAGTGTCTTGGAGAGCTGCTGACATTTCAATGACACAGTGGCTGATTTACAGTCAAAATGTTCAAACATTACGTGTAATAATAACCTTTATTACAGCAGTGTTGTTGTTATAATTATTGTTATAAACACCATGTTTCTGGTGTGAAATTCACGCACGTTTCCCACCTCCAAAACATCCTTTATGAAATCACGGGGAAAATACAGCCAAGAAACCAGAGGCCTTGCAGAGAGACAATCTGCTTCCCCGCTCTCTTTCAAGGCACGTCTCGAAATGTATCTCTTTGACCTGCTTTCAGTCATCTTTCCCCACCCCCACTCGGCCCCCAGTCCCAGCCCGGATGCCAACCCAGCACTTAATTTAAACTGTATTACTGTATTGCATGCAAAGGACTAAGACATCTCACACCAAGACCAGGGAGATGTTCTTCACGTTTTAAAAGGTGCGCGACGGACAGAGACACACCGCGCCAGGCGAGCAGCGCTGGACTTACGAGGTTTTGATGTGCTTTCTACACGGCACATTGTTCCTCACGCACGTCCCGGTCAGTGCATCCACGTTCTCCACGATGACGAAGGGCGCTTCCTCCAGAGTGACGATGGTCAAGTGGTTATCGTCCACTTCGCTGTCGGCAAAGGAACTAAACCTGGGCCAGACAGGGTACTTCAGATTCAGGCTCGAGTTCTCCCACTTCCCAACCTGCAACGATGAAGATCCAAAAACTCAGTCACTGGGCTTTTCCAGGGCAAAAAACAAGCTCCAAGCCGTTCAGCACAGCGCAGACACCCTTCACCAGAATAGCGGGAATAATATAAGAAGAAGAATCCTTGCAGTTGACCTAGCGCCTCATCACGTTGTTGAGACGTTTCAAAGCACTTCACAGAATATATTATCAAGCGGATTAACCTCGTATTTTGTGGGCGAAACGCGCACCCAATTTCGCACAAACAGTTGTGATTGAGTGACCAGATTCTTTTTGTTTTTGGAGGGATTATTGCCAGCAATTGACTAACAACCAGGTTCCTACATAATAATAATAATAATCCTTGCATTTGATATAGCGCTTTTCACGTCGGGAGGACGTCCCAAAGCGCTTCACAGAACACACTGTAAAGTGAATTGACTGTATATTTGTGGGCGAACGCGGCAGCCAATTGCGCACAGCAATGTCCCACAAACAGTCGTAGATTGAAAATGACCAATTTAATTATTGTTTTTAGTTTTGGAGGGATTATTATTAGGCTCTGTGTGGAGTAAGGAAACTTGCCCAAGGTTTCGCCCTGCCTGGAATTGAACTCAGGTCTCTCACTTGCAAAGCGAGTGCTCTAACCACTGAGCTACAGGACTCCACATACAGCTAGATAAACAGAGGCATGTTGAGTAAGAAAACTTGCCTAAATTTTGCCCTGCCCGGGAATCGAACCCAGGTCCCTCACTTGCTAGGCGAACGCACTAACTGCTATCCTACAGGTCTCCACCGGACACTACCAGAGTTTCAGAGAGTCTCAGACAGTCCCAGAGAGCATTTCTTTTTCACCTCCGGGCTGTTTGTGGGATGTCAGCGTGTGCAAATTGGTTGTCGGTTTCGCCCACACAATACAGTCACTCCACTTCATGGTAAATCATGAGAAGCAATAAATAGGTTTTGTGGGAAACATTATTGAAAGGCAATGAAACAGGTTAATTTTTAATTTAATCCTTGCATTTGATATAGTGCTTTTCACGTCTTCTCGACATCTCAAAGCGCTTCACAGAATAGACTGTAAAGTGAATTGACCGTATATTTTTGGGCGAAATGTGGCAGCTAATTGCGCACAGCAGCGTCCCCACAAGCAGTCGTGGATTAAAAATGACCAATTTATTATTGTTTTGTTTTGGAGGGATTATCATTAGGCGTGTGGAGTAAGGAAACTTGCCCAAGGTTTCACTTTGCCTGGAATTGAACCCAAGTGTCTCGCACCTCACAATACACATTAACTTCAAAAATACACATTCACGGTCACTGCTGGTGAGAGCAATTGCTTGCGAAGCGCTTTGAGATGTTTTAATGCAAGAATTATTGTAGATGTGCGCAAATAGTTCATAAAATACAGTCACTACACTTTACGGTATGTCCTGTGAAGCACTTTGAGACATCCTCCCAGCATGAAAAACGCTGTGTTAAACTCGAGGATTATTCTTATTGAATGTCATCACCAGAGCAGCCTTACTTTAAACCTTGTCGCAGTGACATGGTTCCTGATGATTAAATGGAAGAGGTTTGTATTGTGTCGGGAGAAACTGTGGTGCAAGGAAAATTAACGCGCACTAAAGATGCAACTCAGAGCGATTCCCAGGTGCTACAACTACCTTGTCTGGAGTCAAAAGATCACTCATCATAGAATCATAGAGTGATACAGTACAGAAAGAGGCCATTCGGCCCATCTCGTCTGTGTCGGCTCTTTGAAAAGAGCTATCCAATTCAATCCCACTCCCCCGCGCTCTCCCCATAGCCCTGCAAACTTGACCTCCCCCAGTCAACACCGATGGCTTTAAGTAAGTGGGTAAAACTCACACCTAAACCTGCTTTCACTGAAGCGATCGGAGGGGAGTTTCAAAAGGACACAAAGGAGTGTCATATTTCTTCATTAAATAAAGGTGATTCCGTGAAATTAGTGATTAACTGCAAATTCCTACTTTCAGCCCAGGGTGTGAAATGGCCCTGAAAGCTAAAGAGCAAGTGGTGGTTGTTGTTGTTGTATGTGCAACAAAAGGAATGCAATTATATTTTACATTCATACAGTGCCTTTCACCTCGTTAAACATGCAGCAATGCTGTATTATACAGTAAACTCCTGATAGCCCATCGCTTCAAGGAAAAAGAGCTGAGTGATGAGTTATCCCTGCCGGTGAGTTAGGCATATGTATAAATACATAAATAAATGCGGCTGGGATATTGATAGCATGATGATTTAAGAGGTAGTGGCAAATTAAGCCAGGATCGAGTTATCAGGAGTTGACCGTACATCCCCTTTTGATTTGCGATTCAATCGTTGCCTAATTTTGCGCAGTATTGCCAACAGGTCAAGTATAGTGCCTCAGCCAGCAACAGGTTAATAATAATCTTCGCAGCACCCAATACAGCACCTTATTACCTCGCTGGGACGTCCCAAAGCACTTCATACGATTTTACCATGAAGTGGTAAAAGTGATTTTTCAACTTTTAAACAAACACGGCTGCCAATTTGCACAGAGCAACATCCCACAAACAGCCGTGAAGTGAGTGACCAATTTTATTTTGGGCAAGTGTTGGCTCGATTAATGTAGAACTGTAAGGTCAAACCAGACAAATCGTATGATTGATGGATTAAATAGAATTACAGCACTGAAACAGGCCAATTGACCCAACTAGTCAGTGCAGGTGTTTATACTCCACACGAGCCCCCACCCCTCGTATTATCCTCTATTCCCTTCTCCCTCGCATCTTAAATATGTTATTCCTTTCTGCTTCAACCACAGTTTCCAGCAGTGAGGTCCACATTCTCATCAGCTTCTGTGTGAAGTCCCTCCTAAACACCCTGTTAGATTCATTACTGACTCGCTTATATTTAAACGAGTTGTGGACTCGCCAACAAATGGAAACAGCCAATTATTAACATCCATTTATTGAGTCATTTCATTGTGTTAAACACCTTCATAGGTTCCCCTCTCAATCAGCTTATCTCCAGAGAGCAAGACTGTGACCTCTGTTGGATTAATGATCCATTACAATGGGATGAAAGGCAGCGGAGAAATCTACGGCAGATCCCAGCTGGTCTGTGGATCCATACCGCTGCCTAGTCTCCTGTGACGATGGCATACAGTGCCATAGAGGAGAAACAAACTATTACAAAATCAGGAGTGGAGCAATGGGGGGGAGGGAAGAAAGATCAAGTCCAGAGGGTTCAAGCCAGTCAAGTCAGATCAGTAACATCTAATTCACAGGTGCACCCCATTGCCAGCCACAGCCCTCTCTCTTTCTCTCACTCTCTCTCACACGTACACATTTTGCATGAGGGAGAGAGAAACAGAAAAAAAGAGCAAGAGAGCGCGCGAGAGAGAGCAAGAGATTGAGAGACAGAAACAGAAAAAGCGAGAGAGCAAGGGAGAGAGAGAGAGAGAGCGAATTAGAGAGTGAGTGAGCGAGAGGTCCAGCACATCACAGCAGTGAGGTGATATCTATTTGGGGAAACATAAAACTCCATCTGGTGCCTCGTCCATTTTTGAGGCTGAAGAACGTCACAGGGACATGCTGAGCTCTCTCTCTTTCTCTCTCGTTCTCTTTTGCTTTCTCGCTCTCTTTCACACTTGTTCTTCCTCGCACTCTCATGCTCTCTCTACTTGCTCTCGCTCTCTCACTCCATCTCACTCTATCTTGCACTCTCTCTCTTTCGGGCTCTCACTTTCTCTTGTGCTCTTTCTCTCGGGCTCTCTCTCTATGTTTCCCTCCTGCTCTCTCTCTCGTTCTCTCTCTCTCTCTCGCGGGCGTGAGCTGTCCCTTTCTCAGCTTTATTGAACAGTCACTTTAGTGATGCTCTTACAGGTAATAATAATAATAATCCTTGCATTTGATATAGCGTTTTTTCACGTCTTCTCGACGTCTCAAAGCGCTTCACAGAATAGACTGTAAAGTGAATTGACTGTATGTTTGTGGGCGAAACGCGGCAGCCAATTGCGCACAGCAATGTCCCACAAACAGTCGTGGATTGAAAATGACCAATTTATTATTGTTTTGTTTTGGAGGGAATATTATTAGGCTCTGTGTGGAGTAAGAAAACTTGCCCAAGGTTTCGCCCTCTGCCTGGAATTGAACCCAGGTCTTTCGCTTGCAAAGCGAGTGCTCTAACCACTGAGCTACAGGACTCCACATGTATATACCTGTCAGCGTTCTTTACGAGAGGTTTGAGAATGAAACCCTAAACTCGGATTAACAACCATGGCATCTCCACCAGTCTCCCCACCACCCTCCCCACTCACAGGTAAATCACACCATCAGCGTCGGACGTGTTTAAGTTGAAGCTCTTTCTCCGCTCCTGTCAATGACATATTCACGGGCTGAGACTTGGCTGATTGAGGTTACAAAGCCGTGTTGCTGGCAGCCTTATCTCTTCTGCTGAAACGTTTGCCTGTTTTACATCAATTTGTGGAAGAAAACAGCCAAGCTGTTTGTTCATGACACGTGTCAGCCTGGCTCCGTCACTCACTCACTCACTCGCTCGCCTCGGGATCAGAAGGGAGTGGGGTCAATCCCCATAATTTGAGTCAATCTCGTTTGATGCTCCACTGCAGTGCTGGGGGAGTGCTGCATTGTCAGAGGTGCCATCCTTCGGAGAGACATTAAACCAAAGCCCAATCTGCCTGTTCAGGTGGACGTTAAAGATCCCATGGTGCTACTCGAAAAGAGAATGGAGGTTCTGCGACAATTTTCCTCTTAAATATGTTGATGCTTTCTGCTTCAACAACAGCTTTCAGCAGTGAGTTCCACATTCTCAGCACCCTCAGTGTGAAGAGGTTCCTCAGAACCTCCCTGTTAGATTTGTTCGTGTCTAGCTTAGATTTTATGCCTTCTAGTTTTGGGCTCACCAACGAATGGAAACAGCCTACGTTTTATAATGATACATTAATTGTCTCAATCCTACAAAAGATCTTTGGAGAGAAGCTGTGTTGGACTGAAGATGGCTT